GGTGCTGTTCAGAGTTCCTGGGCCTGCCTTACTCATGAGATGACTAAGCAGTCTGTGTGGCCAGTCTTTCATTGTACATACATCTCTCAGGCAACTTAAAGCAGCCACAGCTCCCCAAATGTTGGATAAAGCCCAGGGCAAGACATTAATTTGGAACTCCTCCCATAGAGACACCCATCACCTTGACCACCTAGCAGGCAAGCTCCAAAAAGAATTCACAATAAATTAAAGAATGCCCTTCAGAATACATTTTTCCTCCAGAAAGTTTTGAGATGTTTCTCTTCTTACCCTCCCCTGAAACAAAATCCCACTCTGAAGATATTTTCTCCAAAGATCTAGCATTTTTTGAGGTCGTTACCATCCTTCCCACCTGCCCCCTGTCCTCGAATAATACTAGGGATGGGCGTTGTGGAAGATCCAAACTGGGGATATGCATCTTTTCTTTTTGTAGTGCAAAAAAAAAAAAATTCCCACCCCCTTTAAGGAAAAAGACAAGAAAGAAAAGCAAGATACAACCCCTGCCACCGGAGAGCTCCAACTGTGAAGGAACTGCTACACAATTTCTCCTTTTCCGCCCACAAATAGGGTGGAGAAGTTTGAAAGGGAAGGTGCGCACAGCCCAGCTCTCTTTTGCTTTCGTAAGGCACATTTAGCTCTGAAAACAGGAGTTCTGGCATGCAGACTCCAAGATCTGGTTCTGAACCCTTTGCACACAAAAACTATCCTGACTGGTTTATCCAACAGAAAGTGGAACCCAATTATTTCGCACTGCCTTGTTCTCTGCCCCCTTTGTCATGTTTCAGCCTTTCTGCTCTTCAGTTAAAAGCCTCCACTGGCACAGATGCTGGGAGAGGCCTCTTCCACACATCCGTCTTTGCCCAGCCATTAATGAGTGGTAGCATCCCAGGGTGATGCTGTCCTGCTCTTTCAGAAAATCTCCGGCTTCGCATGCCAACAAACGAAAAGTCACACCAGATTGAGTGCTTTAGTTTCCTAGCTGGGAAGAAAAGTAACACTGGAGGAAAAAGTTCAAGGCTGCACATGAGATGCTTTAGTAGCCACTTTTTATAAAGCTTTGAAGGACGAGACCAAAAGAGAAACCTGTGGTCTTGTTTCCAGCACAGGTCCTTCAGGTACTTCTGCTTGAAAGCAGCGTTTCTCACCTGCTGTCACCACTGGTAAGCCATGGGCTCAGGCTTCCATTTCGCTCAGGGTGAGGCAGCTTCTGGCCCTCCCGATGTTTTGGCTCACACCTCCCATAATCCCTCCTCATTGTCACTGCTGGCTAAGGATGATGGGCGTTGCAGGCCAAAACATCTGAAAGAACACTATTATGGCTGGACACTGACAGAGTTCTTGTCCCTGTCCGTAATCCCATTTTATGCTATCTGAAATAAATGACCATCACCTCATAGTATGCCAGATGATTTCACAGACCAATTATGCGTTGTGTGAAGAACAATTTCAGAGCAGTGGAAGGGATGGAAAAGGAAAGGGAAGTGGTCCATCGTGTCGGTTCTGTGGAGAGCTCGGTTGCCTTTTGCTTCTCCTCTCTGAGCCATTCAGGCCTGACATTGCTTTGTTTCTATGTTTCTATGATGTTTTAAGAAGCGAGGTAAAAAAAAAAAACCCTGGAGCTTGGATTTTCTTTATTCCCCTCCTTCCTTCACCTCGTTTCTTTTTGTGCTGTGTCTTTTGGGGCACTTGCAGATAGAGGGCTTCCAGGCCTAGCAAGCAAAAGGCAGTGTGCAGCAACTTCCTCTATTTCTCCTTAAAATTCCTCTATTCCACCTTTTCTGGAAAGAAAAAAAGATGGAAGAAGTCGTGGGATAGTACAGAAGGGTGACTAAGGAAAGATGCCAGCATCTGGATCCCCTGTAAAATGACATGAATGAGGCGATGTGATTGCACCATAAAAGCCTTCTCCAGCAGCACCCACAAACCACAACCTTGTCGGTAAACTACTCCAGGAGCCCTTTCAACTGAAGAACTGGGTTAAAACGCTAGAAGGAAAAGATGTACTTTCTTCTGTTTGTCCTCATCCTGCTGCCAATCCACTTCTTTGGATAAGCCCAAGAAAGGAGAAAACAGCTCTCTACCCACGTTCTGCTGTCATGATTTATGCCTCCTCACCCCAACCGACACACGCAAAGTGCAGTGCTCTTCCGTGGGATGTATCCTTCTGCCTTTTGCACTAATTCTCTTTCCGCAGCTGCTGCCCACTCCTCATTTGGCCTTGCTGCTTGCTTTAATGGTTGGGCTAGCAGAGGATGCATCGGGGCTGGGCTCAGAGCGCTCCCTCAATGCCGAGAAAAGGATCTCTCGCAGTGAAAGGAGAGCCGGCTCTTTACCTGGCTAGAAACTGAGTGAGGCTTTGCTTGGGTGACAGAGGAGGTGAGATTCCAAAAGGCCCCCAGCTGAATCCGATGCACAGCATCACTGCTGGACCACAGAAAAGAAAGTTCTCCATGGGCTAGCAAAGGGCACCATGTGACCTCAGTGGTAATGCCTGGAGCCAGCTTGAAAAAGAGTGGCAATGCTTGCTTTACTGTTGTTTTTCTTTTCAAATGAAAAAGCACCAAACTATTAAGCTTTTTCTCACTGAGAAGGTATTCCAAACTCCTGGCCGCTTTTGAGCACCTCTTCTTCCAGCTCTAAAGTAGCCTTTCGGAGGTGAGGCAATTGGAACTGGACATATCCAGTCTTATTCCCAGAGTTGTACCATAGATTCATACAAAGGCTTTATAATACTGACAGCTTTATTTTCAATCCCTCTCCTAATAATCCCCTAGTACGGAGTTTGTCTCCCCCAATCCTCACACCCACACAGCTGCTGCATACTAAGTAGTAACACCTACCCCCAAATCTAATAGAGGACGCAGGCAAATGGATATTTTCTTCCCCTGCTATGAAAGTTTTAAAGAGCTGGGATATTAACTCAAATGGCCATTAGATCTTTTAAACACTGTGCCTTTGTATAGTTAGAATACTTTAGTTCTCGTCTGCCCCATTAAAAGAATTGACCAGATGGAAGGACTCCCCCCTCCATCTTCTCTTCTAGCACAGGTTGGTATTTAATTAAAAAATGATTCTCCTTTTTAATCCTACCCCTGACATTTTATCTATCATCCAGATGTTACCTCTGATCATTTCAACATTGGATCAGCAGGATAAAACTTATTTCTATTCTCTGAAGGAAACAAGAATCCAAAATTACAACAGAGCAAATTAAAATATGGAGCTGGCTGTGGTTTCTTCGTTTTGAGGTTGGGAGGGGCTTCCTCAGTTACAGAGTCACTGGCTTTATAGGTCACCTCTCCAACACGCTGACACAGAGTGCTGGAAAGGAAAAGTATCAGCCCAAACTAAGATGGGGCTACAAGATAAACTCAATGGATTTTAAGATAAACTCAATGGATTTTAATGAATGTAAGCTGTGAGCTGCCCTGAATGCCATTTTTGGCAGGAAGGTGGGGCGCAAGTCAAATAAACCACCTTCTTGGGGCAAGAGTCAATCTCTATTATTCATAATGTTTTATGGGACAGGGTGCGTAGTTTGGGAGTGCTCCTCGACCCAGAGTTATCCTTGGAATCCCAGGTGACTCCTGTGGCGAGGAGTGCTTTCCTTCGGCTTTGGGTGATCCATCACCTACCCCTTTACTTGGCTGAGCAGAGCCTAGCGATGGTGACCCATGCCCTGGTAACTTCCCAAGTGGACTATTGCAACAAGCTCTACATGAAGATGGTCCTGATGCTTCAATTGGTTCAGAACAGAACAGCCGGGTTGCTAGCAAGGACCGGCAGACACACGCACATAACACCGGTCCTCTACCATCTGCACCGGCTTCCAGTTGAAGCCTGGGCCCAATTCAAGGTGCTAAGTGATCTTATAAAGACCGAAATGGCCTAGGATCGGGATAGTTGAAGAAGCGCCTCCTTCCATATATACCTGCCCGGCTTTCGTGGTTTGCTCAGGGACCACAGGCTGCCCTCCCTCGATCTGGAACGCTGACCTTGCAGAATACTGTTTCCCTGGGGCAGAGGGCGATTTAACAGGAGCATGTGGGGCACACAGACGACACCACGCACAAGCCATGTGAAAAGCTGCGAGGAGGAATCCACACCATGTCGTGGAAGAGGTCTAAGGAGCACTTTCAGGCAGCTTTTCCCAGCCCTACCTGCAGATGCGAGGGGTGAAGCCAGTGACCTGCTGCATGAGAAGCGGCTGCTCTCAGTCACTGGTGTTGAAAATTATGCATGGCGTGGAGACGCTGGCAAGGAAGCCAATTTGCTCCTCTCCCTTAACACTGGAACCCAGGACATGCCAAGTATCTGACCAGTGGAAGATTTAGGAGAGATCAAAGGAAGTATTTCCTCACACAACACATGGATACAAGAGGGTATTAACTGCCACAGGAAGTGGTGGTGGCCACCATTTGGGAGGGTTTCCAACGGATTGGACACATTCATGGAGGAAGAGGAGGCTATCTGTGGCTACTAGCCCTGCTGGCCAGGTGCTTCCTCCTTTACCAAAGGTGGCCTGCCTGCACACACCTGTTGCTGAGGAGCCCAGCAAGAGGTGGTCTTGGACCCATCCTGCTTGAGGAATCCTGTGGGCAGCTGGTTCGCCCCTGTGAGTACAGAGTGCTGGAATGGATGGACTTTTGGTCTGATCCAACACCACTGTTAGCCACAGCTCTTCCCAGGGAGGTGGGGGTTCTGGAAAGTCTTAAGCCCCCACCTCTCTGTTTCAGCTTAATGGGCCCTCAGAATCTCATTTTTGCCTGGTGGGCCAACAGCTTCATGCCATGCTGGTGGATACTAAAGGTCTAATGAGGAAAAGAGAGAGGAACAGAAAAGTCTGCCTGGCCTTCTCAGCGGTGAAATAAGGAGTAAACCTGCTGCGGCCTGATCTTTAGAAAAGTAATGATTCTAGTATTATTTTGAGTTGTGTTGTATGCAAGCGGTAATTAATCTCCAGTGAAATGAAAGGAGTCAACTACCACAGACGTTTCTTTTATTTAAACTTAGGTTCTTAAACCATCAAAGCAATTTATTTCTGCAGCGTCAAAAGCTGAAACAAGATTTCACAAAGGAGGAACCCTTTCTCATTTCATTTTATTAAAAAGAGGCTCAGATAAAAGACGTGTGAAATGATTCCTTATAATATTTGTATACCAATTCCTCCCCACACTCCAAAAGAAGCGACTGGATGGTGGGAAGCCCGTGGGCGGATTCATCCACTGTGTTCCAGAAAACTGCAGTTGTTGCACTCAATGGAGCTCCGCAAAAGCAGGACAACTTCGCAGTTGAACGAGATCTTTAAGATGCAACTCGCAATTCTACAGGGGTGGTGCGAGGTGGAAAAGATCCTTATTCAGTCTCCTGTTTGCATTTGCCTGTGAACACACCCAACGACCCACGGTCCAGCTCCATAAAGGACAGGTCACACTAGGGGAGTGGGCATTTGCGAAATCAGAAACTGCACCTATGGCTTAAAAAAGAAGTGCAGGTGTGGGACACCTGATCGAAATCCTCTTCTGACCACCAGTGCAATTCTTACCTGGATTGGGCGTCCTCCAACGGCTGCTTCCAGTGCAGGAAAAGCGCCCATTCCCACCACCACTCCCAGATGCAAATCCCAGCCGAGACATCCCTCCCCTTGAAAGGGATCAGGTCCACCGCAGAGGTCAAAGGGTGAACCCCTCGATACCCCGTGCCATGGACCTGATCAGCTCCCACCCCTCCCATGCCTGTAATTTACTTTTTAAAAGCCATTCTCAGCATTGCCAGTGGCACGATCTGCATGAAGTCTGGCTTGGCCTTCAAAGGGCCTGAAACAACCTTTGCCCTGATACTGAAAGGTAGCACCATGTTATGTTTGCAGTTCTGATTCTGCTGCCGAAAAGGTTGGCTTCCCTGAGGTGGCTCATACAGGCTAAAACAATCACACGTTCTTTGTTTTCTCCTATTAACATACAGACAAAGCAAGGTTGCAGCAAAACTGGCGTCAGAAAATGTCAAAATCCAAAGCGTTCCTTCTTGCCGGTAGACTTTGGGGGGCCAGGCAGGCACAGTCGCACCCTGAAATGGAAGCCCTGCCCTTTTAATCCTTTCATAAGCACTGCTCGGAGTTGGTTGGAGGAAAAGATGCAAGGACATTGTTCGCTTAAGCTTCTTCCGCGTATCCTTTCTCTCACTCTCTTTCATATCACGAATTAGTCACTGGTCTAAGCCATCGGCAGGTCATAGTAAGCAGCGTATCTGCCAGTCACATGATGATAAATCTGCAGAGTGGGAGAAAGGGGGACCAGGGTGGGGGGAGAAGTTTACCGGAGCAATTATGAAAAAAGAGAAATTAAACAGGTGTAACAAAGCCAATCAATTAAGGGCAGGTTAACAAGAAGGTGGATGCAGTTTATAGAAATTTAATTATTCTCACCAATTTAAACAGTACTCTGTCCAAGTTTCTTAACACCACCCGCTTTTGGCAAGAAATCCACGATGGTGTCCTTTCCCCTTACATGCCTCAGACTCTATCTATTCATGTGCTCTTATGCTGGTCTTCTCCCCGGGTTCATTTAAACTACAATGACCTTGCAAGGTAGGTAAGGGAGCCCACCCAAAGTTAGCCAGTGAACATCATGGCTGAGCGGTGATTCGAAGCTCAGTTTCGGTCATCCAGGCTTTTTCCTGGGAGAAATACAGATAGTGCAACCTGCCCAGGATGGAAATTGAACCAGGGCAGTGAAACTGGGTGACTACCTCTCTGCAAGGTTTTGACCAGAATCCCAGAGAAAACAGCATAGCCATTGCAAACTTCCATCCAAGCAAGCAAGAAGTGCGGGATTTTGTGCTCTCCCTCCTCTGAAAGAGGTCATGATGGCCAGCCTGAATCTCCCAGTTCCACCCCTGAATCTCCCAGTTCCAACCCTGTGTTGGTGGAAGGGGAGGTTTCCCCACTGTGTCCAGGCCTCCAAATAGCACGTCACTATTATCCTAGCATGTCTTCACTTCCTGTTTAGATAAAAACATATGCACTTCACACTTAATCTCTGCCAATACCCTGGAGCTCATTTCCCCACTCTATCTAGCATGGCATATGATCTGCTCTGTGTGTGTTTGCATGCATGCATGCATGCATGCATGCCACCCCCCTGCCAAAGATCCTGGTATTTCTGCTGTTCCTCCTCTTGCAAGGCACCCAAAGTGGCTGGATGACAAAGTGGTTCATTAGGTCAAAGGAAACTCCCTCTTCTTCACCATCTACTGCCTGATCCTTTCAGCCAACACAGTGTAGTGGTCAGAGTGCTGGACTGGGACTCAGGAGATCCAGGTTCTTGTCCCCACTCAGCCATGGCACTCACAGGGTGACTCTGGCCCAGTCAGCCAGACTAACCTGAGGAGCTTATTGGGAGGAGAAACGGAGGAGAGCAGGAGGATTCTGTAAGCTGCCTTGGGTCCCTCACAGGAAAAAGGTGCTAAATCAGGATAATAAACAAACCGGAGGCAGGGCCAGCACCCAAAGGGCACTGCTGCCCCCCTGCCCTCCCCTCTGCTCAGCAAGCCCCACCAAGCCCCTCTCTTGCCATGGCAGTAAGTCAGTGGGGCCAGCGGGGCTCTGCGATGTAGCCACCAGCTCTGCAAGGCGAGCAGGTGCTCCGGCCCAGACTCCCCCTGGGGCTGAGGCGAGGATGCAACCTGCAGGACACTGAGAGCAGCCACCCATCTTAGAGCAAAGCAGAAGGGCTGCAGCCACACTCGGCCACCTTTGCACCAAGAACTGCCTTACCGGGAACCATTTTTTCTGCTCAAGAGCCACACCCTGCAGCTCAGGCTTCCTCACTCATGGTAGTTTGCAGGTGCCTTACACCCTCCAGGGCTTCTCTATGCTTTGCAACCATGCCCACGACTTTCTCTTTTCCGAGTGAGAAAGGTGTGGTATTATTAGGAAATTGTGGGCTGAAGCTTCCTGTGTTGACACTATTCTGCTACTCCACAGCACCACCTAATGGCTGTTTAATGGAACTTATTACAAAAGGGAGTAAAAAAAACCCCTGTGGAAACAGGCTCGTCTTCATCCCACAAAGAATCCAGAAGGAAAAGTCTTAGTAGAGGGGTGAGTAAGAGTCTGGTGGAGAAAAGCTCTGGGTGGATGGGCATTCAGAAGGCCCAGGCGTGCATGACGAAGTGGTGGGGGGGTGCAGGAGTGGTGACACCTGTCCAATACCCAACAAGGCACTGGGAGAGCTTCAGCTGATCCGGACTGGAGATGCCAGCAACTGAGCCTGGGATTTCTGCATGCAAAGCATGTGCTGAACTATGTGGATTCACTCTTTTGAAACCCTGATCCTGGAACTGTTTAGAAGACAGGAGTCAGTGGCTGCCACGGCGGCTTCCTGGAAGCACAGCCTGAATTCTGTCCCAGTATAAAATGAGCAATTAGTCAGCAAATGAACCTACTTTTGCCCTGCAGGATCCACCTGCCTCGGTGTGAGGAAGCACACGAAAACTGCCTGGCTATTATTAGAAATTAAAGCCAGTTTCTGATATTTCCTGATATTTCAGAGACAATGTAAGAAAGCAAAAGTTCTTAAGTGGCAATTTTTAAACGTCTGTAACATAGGAGGCAACACAAGGTGTTTTACTGTGGGGGAGTGGGGACTAAAGAAAGCATCAGTAGAAGCCAAACCTGTCTCTCGATATCCCCCAGCAAGGTACTGGCGCCCAGGCGAAAGAGTTCCGGTTTTAGCCACTCATCTCCCAGTTCTTCTTTCATCAATGAAAGCCAGATCAGGGCTTCTTTGGCCGTGCGAATGCCACCTGCAGGCTTAAACCCAACCTTGATTTAAGAAGAGGGGGGATAGAAAACAGGTTATAAAGATGTCATTGAAGGAATACAACAAGCTGGCCTAGACCGGGGGGGGGGGGGGGGAATGGAACTTGCATGCACTTCTATCCATACAGGGATCTCTATCCTGCTTTTTCACTTTGACAAAATGAAAACATAAAGTGAAGAATAAACATGCCATAGAAATAAATGTGTAACTGCATGTGTCTCCATGTGCAGTTAAGCAATTGTATAAACAAGGATAAATATATATTCTACAATTCCTATCAAACCTTTTGGTTTCTTTCTTTACCAGTGACAGACAATACAGTTTATCCTAATTGTTAGAGCTGAGGGCAGAAGCTGAAACATTGGACAAAAACTGTATCTATATATTTATCCCTGTTTACCAAATTGTTTACTAAAAATATAAACTCTTGAGTACAGTTGGTTGCATTCCTCTGGTATTCCAGGTTTGCCTGCTTGCAACACCACTTAGTTGCATTTCCTGTGTGTGTTTAAGCATGAGCGCATGCACACACGCACACACACAAGAAATACATTCATAATCACATAATCACGGTTTGCCTTGCGTCTCCTCAAAGCAAGGTATTTCACATGGCTACGTCCAGTTTATGCAGCTCACTGCTTACGTACTTAAGTAAGAACCCACTGCTGTTTAACTGTTTTTAAGAGCAAAGTATAAATAAAACAATTATACCACAAACAGATAAACCCCAGCGGTAAAGAAAAATGTTTCAGACAGTGATGGAACTATAGTAGAATTACGCAGGAGAGAGTCCAAACTACAGGGTTCCACAACTTGAAAGGGCTCTTGTAGCTAGAACTTGCAAGTGCTATCGCAGAAGGCAACGGCACGTGTAAAAGGGCTTCCCCAGAAGATCTCAGGGCATGGGCAAAATCATCCTCGCCCTTGTAACACTGCATGCATGCCCTGCCTTTCTTCCTTTCGCAAGGGCTTCCTCCATGCCATTTAATTCTCCCAACAAATTGGTGAAGCAGGTTATGCTGGGAGCCAGTCTCTAGCCTAAAGGCACTGCATCTCCTAATGGAGTGCATCATACTGGCTCTACTGGGACTCCCAGCGTGGCGGGTGGGGCCGTACAAAAAGAATGGCATGACTTGAGGCCAGAGGTAGAAATACAGAAACAGGGTGAGTCAGAATACCACTGAAAGGGTGATTTTGAAAAAGCCTACCTTGAGCAGCTTTTTCTGCACTGCTCATCATTTCTGCCCATTCTACACACATTCCCACCATCAAAATCATGCCGGGACACCTCGTTTTCCTAACCCTAACCCTGCCCTGATGCACACCCCTAACCCTAATATAGGGTAAAGTTCCATTGAAAATAATGTGGTTTTGAAAAAGCCTTCCTGGAGTAGCTTCTTCTGCACAGCTCATCGTTTTGCCCATTCTGAACACATGCCCACCATCAATATCATGCCAGGACACCTCACTTTTGTAACCCTAACCTTGCCCTGGTGCACACCCCTAACCCTAATATAGGGCCACTACTCCTTTCCGAGCATGCGCATGGCCCCTATGTGCACCGTTATCCAATGCTCGGCCGCTGGGGCGATGCGGGGGCGACTTGACTCGCGTGCCAGCAGAGAGGGCTCTGCATGCGCACCGTGGCACACATGCCACAGGTTTGCCACCACTGATCTAGTCTGACCTCTGGCTCCAGCCGGCTCCACTCAGGACATGCCTACCATACACAGGTACACAGTGGCAAGTTAAAAGGGGCCCTGAATTCACCTTGTGTTGGGCACATTATATGAGCAGAAACAAGGAGCATTTTGATTTTATAGAAATCAAATAAAAATTATTCGACAATAACTAGTTGAACATCTGCAGGTAGCACAGTCCTCCAGGTGTGCTGTCCTACAATTCCCATCATGCCCAGCCAGCACAGCCTACTGCTTTCTGGATATTAGATGTATCCTCTCGTCATCCTCACCAGCAGCCACTGACTCAGCTCACTGCATTTCCACTTGTCACCCGCTCTACAAACATACCAAGGAAAGGACCGCTCCATGCCAAAGGCAGAGCTGAAGAAGTGATATAAAAGACAACAAGGGACTCCCCTTCATTTCTTTTTTCCAAATGCAGCCCCTTGTAATGTACACCAGGCTCCTTCTCCCATTCCCCACGATTAGCTGGGGTCAGATGGCTTCCCAAGCAGGCCTCAGAAGCCCCAAAACATAAACGGCTGCTCTGTTTGCAGAGCGTTTTCGATCCCGACTGCCAACCCGACTCTCCCTCCAAGTTCTCCTCCAACAATTCCCTTTATTTCCAGCTACAGCTGCTCACTCCTCTCTCATCCTTTCGGTTTCCGGGCTTTCTACAGACTCCATCACATATAAATAGATATGTGTATATATGTGTGTGTTTCCTTCAAGAGCTATAAAAAGTCTGGCTACTTTTCCCCCTGCTGTTTTCACAGGATTTCATTATTTTGTTTAATAAGTTCATCTCCTTGAGAATTTTTTCTTGTCACCTCATATTATTAAAAGTAATAAGTTTCTCTGGACTGGGGATTCCCCAACAGAAAAACCAATTTGTGTGTGTCCTTCAATAATGACAGGAAAAGATTGTTTCCCATTATGCTGCATACTTTTCATATCACCACCACTGCTTATCATTCAATAAATGTTAGCAACCAGCTTCTGTCCTCGGAAGAAGTTTAATTTCTACATTAACCTGTTTTTACTAGTCAACGCCTTTGCTGGAAAAGCATCTGTAAGGCAGCCAAATTGGTTTGCTTAGGAAGGCATTTAGAAACCTCTTGTCAGTGATAAAATTGTCTCTTTTTAATAACGGGATATAAACTCAGTTTACATCTAATTATTATCATTATTATCATTATTATTATTATTTCCTGAACATGGGCATGCAGCACACATTTTGGGTTAATAGAAAGTTAAACATGCCCTCACTCCATCAATTCTGCTTAAAGGAACGATAATTAAATGGTTATCTTAATGACATGTGTGGCTGTGGCAACGCAGAAAACCAAACCACGTCAGCCTCAGTGGAGAAGCCCCATTCAGGCATCATACATGTGAGTGAGTCCAGCCTATAAGCAGAGCGGGGCCGCACTATGTAGTCTCAAGATGCACCAAGCCGCCCCTCCACCTGGCCAGTGGGAGTGGTCCATTTTGGGAATCCAGCAGAAATAAGCACATTTGTGGTTAAAGATTTTTTTTAAAATCCCCTTATTAGCAGACTATAGAAAATGGACTGTGGAAGTAAGGGAGGTACGGAGTTCCACACTTCTGCCCATTCTGCTATCAGGAACTCCTGAAAGAAATAACAGTAGCCTGTTGGCTGGCATACACCATCTTCTGCACCTGGTCTACCAAAGCGCTGCTCTTCAGAAGATTCCCTGACTTTGTATAGCTTTTTCGAAGACCATCATCTTGGATATTCCCATGCCAGGGTGTTGGACTTGGCCATTTGGTGGTCAACAGCCCTTCCAAGTTGGCCAAGCTCCTTCCTGGAGCCGTAATTCAAATTCATCCAAGCAGTGAGTAACAGCTATCTAGGCCATGAGATAACTGAATTGCCTTCCCGGGTCTCGGCTGACATTTCAAGTACACCCAAGACTGTCTGAAAACAAAATGAATCCACAAGCTTCTCGTGGGAAATGCTCAACACCACTGGTAATAGACACCAGACAGTGGGTAACATCTGTTGACTCAAGTCACAATGGAGAAGAAATGAAGAATAAGTATGTCTGCACAGAGAAGGCCCAGACACACAAAGAGAATGGTCCTATACCATTTTCTCCTCGTGATCACCAGGGTCTCCTGGCCTTTTCCACTACAGAAGTCTACATACATACATACCACACAGAGCTCTTCAAGGATAGGGCCCCCAAGCATCTAAGTTAAGTGTGCCATACAACCCGGAAACCTGATAGCAGAGGGTTCTGGGTCACTAGGAGACCTGCACACATGCAGTTTCACAGGTGAGGACCCTCTCCCTTCCGGTGTTTGTGCCAAATGCCCAGATGACAGAGGCTGAGGCTATTCAGTGCGGGTAATGGTAGGTTCCCACGAGAAGGCGAAGCTCCCTGGAGAAGACCAGCATGCTAGGGAAAGTCGAAGGCAGAAGAAGAAGAGGAAGACCAAACAGGAGATGGATGGACTGCACAAAGGAGGCCACAGCCTTGAATTTCGAGGAACTGAGCAGGGCTGTCATGGATAGGACACTGTGGAGGATCATTCATAGGAACACTGTAAGCTGGAGATGACTTGACGGAACATAAGAACAACATTACGGTTGTGGCTACTCTGCATGGCCACACTCACATGTTGAGCTTGTTCTAGGCGTGAATAAGTCTAGATCCCTGAGCCCATCCAGAACTGTGTCACAGCACCGCAACATCTCATGGCTGCAGTGACTTCTGCTCAGACGTCACTGCTTCTGCCAGGGTTCCCTTGCCTGCACAGAAGCCAGGAAGGACTGGCACAAGGGGCAGGGCTGCTGTCTGTCTAGAGAGGTGAGAATGAACGGGCAGGCGAGAGGAGCACAGCTGAGGAATTCGTTCGACTTGCCTCACTCAGGGCAGTGGTTCAGATTGGACAACTGGAGCAAGCGGGAGGCACCAGCAGTGATGGCGGCCACTCCAAGGTTTGGCTGTCATGGTGACTGGCCCAAGGTCTCCAGGTCAGCTTAGTGGCAAACGAAGGAGCCCAGCAATGCATTTTCTAAAGGACTTCCCTTCTGCAGCAGCCTCTTATTTTTCTACAAATATGTCAGCAAAAAATATCTCCAATGCTTTTTCTGTCTTAGGATGCTTCCTTTTAAAAGAAGAAACTTTGCAAAATGTCTTCTTCTCCCTCCCCTCCCCTCCCCTCCCCTCCCCTTTGTTTTGGTCACACATTTGGAGAAAGATAAGCAGCTCCTGAAGAAAGAAAGTCCTTTCTACAAGGCACTGGGATGAGAAAGTGTTTGCAAGAAACTGAGATTTTGTCGTCGTTGTTCTGGGACACAGGTGCCTTCTTCAAGTGGGGGTTTGTACCCAGTTCTCCCTATTTTAGAATGTCCAGCACTTTAATCCAGGCTTCCCCGAGCTAGCCCCTTCCAGGTGTGCGGGGCGGCAACTCCCATTGGCCAGGCTGACTGAGGATACCAGGTTGGGGAAGGTCAATTTGCATTAACAGCCTAGCCTGGGTCTCTTTGTCTTAAAGCTGCAATGGTCTCTTGCTACCAAGGAAACAGAAAACCATTAGTTGCTAAACATCACCAGGCCTGCTCCGAGCCAATGCTTATCGTGTTGCTTATAGAAGGGTTTCTTTGACCCTCTTTGTAGAAAATGCTTTAACCTGTTCTAGGAAAAAAGCCTCTTATTTGACCAAATTGGTTCCTATATTTTGCAATAAAGATGACAGTTTGAGTTAGGTTTGAGGAAGGAGGATGCTCTGACCGGTGGCAAACAATTCAGGGGTGCTGCTTCTTCCGAACCGGACTGCCTCTGGACTGGATTTTGCTAACTCTAAAGAGATATGGGAGAGGTGTGTAATTTTCATAACCTGGAAAATGGACAGGGGTGATTTTATGATGGGATATGATTAGAAATATACAAGTGGGCAGCTTCCGTTTCCAATTTCTGCAGCCATGTCCTTTTCTAGGATACTCCATTCCATGACTGCCCCATGTCTCCAAACATTCGGTAAGCACTCCATATCCGCTCAGCATGTTCTGCCCCCATTTTTCTGTTTTGCCCCCCACCCTTAGACCTGAGGCTCCCCCATGTCTACGGATGCGCCACACTTGGGCAGGGCTGCAGCTGTTTTCATGAGGGGTCTCACTTGCAGACAATGAACTTCACTGCAATGCAGCTGGTGATGTTTGCTTCTTATTCTTGCAGCTGAAGGTTTCTGGACAAACAATACTTATTTATATCCACTGGATCTGCCTGCCTACCTCTGGGTGCCCTTTCCAAAGAAGGGAGCCTCGTGGTTCTACAGTGGGAGCTCCCCTTCTCCCCAAACACTAATCATTTGGCACCTTCTCGGTGTCACTGTTTCCTTTCTGAAAGGTTGAACCCTTTCCAAAGGATATCTTGCTGGCAGTAAGCTGACATTAAATTTGGCTGGCATTTTAGGCCATCCCTTTTGCCGGCCCACAAGGGAACGTGACCCAAACAGCTCCCCCAAAATCAAAGTTAGTCCTCCTGTTGAAAGAGGTTCGACGTCTTTGGGGTGCTGGTGACCCTGGAGCAACTGCCGTCTCTCAGCCTGTTTATTTATTTATTTTATTTATATCCCACCTTTTTCCTTTTAAGGAACTCAGGGTGGCTTACCTAACTCTCCTCCTCCTCTAATTCTTATTCTCACAACAACAACCCTGTGAGGTTGGTTGGGCTGAGATTCTGATTGGCCCAAGGTCACCCATTGATGCTGCAATGGCTGAGTGAGGACTAAAACCCAGATCTCCTGAGTCCCAGTCCCGCACACTTGACCATTACACCACACTGGCTCTCACCCTACTTCACAGGGCTGTTATGACAATAAAATAGGAGGGAAGAAACACATATACCAACCCGAGCCCCACAGGCAAAGGTCAAGCTAAAAGAGTATTAAATAAAGTTAATTCTGAGAGGGATGGTGTAACTTGGTGTCCTGCAAGAGCAGGGGTTGAACCCGATGGCCTTCATGGCCCCTTCCAACTCTACTATTCTATGATTCTATGAACATCTGGCCACCAGAAGATCCTGGAACATATCACCTTGTTTGGTATCTCCCACACTTAAACTAATGGCGATGCTTTCACAAACACCATCTTCTAGACAAAGGAAAGACAGAGGAGCTGTTAACTTACCTTATAGCCAGTTTTCCAGTAGAAATCCCTAATGGCTCTCACCATGACCAGTCCGACTGGAAAGGTAGCATTGACAGCTTCTTTTCCGGTGGAAGTTTTAATGAAATCAGAACCTTTGGAGGGAATAATATTTTTTTTTAAAAGCATTTCACTAACAAAATTATCATCATACCTCCTGGTGTTATGCTTTGTTTTCGTCATATGCAGTCATTCTCCCCTAGTATTTCTAGGGGAAGAAGAGGGATCTGCAATAACCTATAGCAGTTGGAGTGATGATGCTCAGAAATCCAGCTAGCCGTGACCTTTTCTGGGATGCTCCATGCCATGCCATGCCCACTCGTGTATCCTCACAGGGAAGGCTGGAACACAGTGTCCATCCACCTGGTTGGCCAGTGCAGGATTCACGATGCTAAACTTCATCTAGCTCAGGATCCTTTGAACTCATCTGGCAGGTGACATCGGGCAGAGAGGGGGAACATTTGGAGAGAAGGCCCAAGAAGCATGGTAATACTTTCAGTGCATGCTTGTTTAGCAAAGTCTCCAGTGTACAACCTTGGTAACCTTCTTAACAAGGGGAGCTAACCTACTTGCCCATATAAGCATGTAATGACCCAGTCCACACACGGGCTTGCCATGGGTTATTCAACCAACAATGGGCTGTGATGTATGCTGGGTGCCATTTTTTATTGTAGGACCACCCCAAGACTGTTGTAGTCAGACTGTACAGAAAAGCTTTAGATGAGTAAATATGGAACTCCTGTGGTATAGCAGTGCATTAGGATGGCAATGGGGCTGCAACATGATGCAATCCAACGGGGTGATGACAAGGGTTTGTTGTAGGATTATGCAAATAATTATCCTGGGACTCCTGAAGGCTGGGTTCAGATGACACACCACAAACCCACTAGGTGGTGCATATTCAAAATGGCGCTTGGCACTGGCCACAACTCACCATGAGTGGAATAACCCAGGGAGAGCCCACATGTTGTGCAAAGAGGGCCACTGCCTCCTCGAACGATGGCTCTTAGGCAGAGGTCTTCACATCACCGGCTGCCTGGGTCCTTTTAAGTTGGAGATATTTGGGATCAAATTTGGGTGTCTCTGCGCACAAAGCGTATCCTCTAGCACTATGCCACTGCCCATTGTGCAGCTGTCTCTTGCAGCTGATGACTAAAGGCTTTAGAAAAGCATATTAATCTTCCTTGCACCAACCTATATTCCATCACCCACTGGTTTTCATTTAATTGCAGAATTTAAGTCCTTTAGCACAATACTTCTATTCCCCACATCCCTCCTTTCAGGGTAAGGTAAGTCAACGCTTTTATAAGTCTGGTAATTAGAAATCTCTATGGTATAGTTTCATTTAAAACTTTCATTAAACAACATCTGCCCTTGTATAGGGTCTCCTAATCAATTTGGTCAAACAGAAGGACTTCTAATCGGCTGTTGATAAAAATAGAAGATGAAATTTTAATTCTAATAGATTAACCACAAACTCAAGATAGTCTTCAAAATCCATCTCGCTCTATTCTCCAGTGGATTTAACGACTATTCAGCAACTCATTACTAAATAGAACAAGATGAACATTTTCCAGTTCATTAAAGAAATGTACTATGTATTTTTGCATTGTCCTCATGATTCGTTACAGGGAGTCTTAATTACAAGATAATGGATAATGGTTATTAAACGTAGGCTCCAGTAATGAAGCTCTATTCATTTGTGAGCCTCGGAGACTGCAAAGAGGGGAAAATAAAATTACTAGCTTCAAAAGATTAACGGATCAAATTATTATTCAATTTTGAAAATCTCATTCAGACATTGCAGAAACAAGAAGGGGTTTTTTTTAAAAAATAAAATACTAGTGTTAGGACCATAGCGATGCACTTTTTTTTTTTAAATAAAATAATATCTTAAGGCTATTAGCGGAATAATCAGCTTGAGATGTGATTATCAAACATACAGCCAATTTAGCAGCATCTTCTAACAATGAAAACAATACATTTTTTATTTCATGAACAAATTCTATTTATGATACGAACGAGAGCTTGCTAGCAGGACTCCACAAAGATGATGGAAGAAAGATGCTGCCACAAAGCTTTTCAATGTAAAGGTATTATTAACATTTTATATCCCACTAATGAAAACAGGGACTTTGAACGGATTGGAGGGGGGGGGGTGAAGAAAGCAAACTACTGTTTTAAAATGGAGGCCATTAAGCATACTTCATGCTAGCTTTATAAATAAGCTACTTCTGGCCATATTATTCACCTGTCAGTGATTTTCATCTTACAAGAGTTGCGCTAGGAAAGAAAAAAGTTTAGAAAAAGAGAAAAAGCTCTGCGTCTGATCTCACGGCGACGTGCAACTGCGGTTCAGGAACCACAGGAATTCTGCCTCTTGGACCAGCCAAGGGGCTTCCTAGGGTGTCAGTTTCTGGTGGACCTGGATATTGAACAGGGGTGCCCCCAGTCCAACAAGGCACCCCTTTAAAAAGCCAGGAATGGGTCTGGAGGCAGAGCGCTTGGAAACACAAGACAATCATTGGGATGGCCACTTCTGTCCTTTTGGGTTCCTCAAAAGGACAAAAGTGATACCTTGGATACTGCCCACTTGCGCATTTACAGGTACGGACCACGGGCAGCAACTTCTGGCCCTACCACTGAGATGGCTCACACTTCCCATCAACCCTCATACTGGTTCTGCTGGCCAGGCCTTCTGCATGCTGCCAGCAGAACCATCTGGAGGGCCCACAGTTGCTCCGGCCTGGTGCGCATTGCACAACTCAGGCACCGGTGTGCTGATGGCTCCAGCCGCTACCTAGGAGCCCAGTGCGGGTGGCCAGCCCCGGGTCTCCCACCCTTTATCCTCAAGCGGCACTTGTGCTGGAAAGGTGTTCCGGTAAGAGGGTGCCTTGCAAGAAGACCCTCCTCCATAGAGCTGGCTGGCTCAGGCAGGCACCCCTCCCACTGGACACAGAAAGCCAACCAGACTTGCACCTGAATCCTTCTTCAGGGTTAGCTCCACCCCCATACCTGAAGACAGGCACAGGGTACAGTTCCCCCCTTCCACACCTGGCTGCCACTTCCCAGCAGCCACTGCCTGGGGCAGCTGCTCTGTTTTGCCTACAGCAGGGCCAGCTCTGAGGACTACCCCCGGTCCAGATTCAGATTCCCCTGCGTCGGCCTGCAGGGAACAGAAAAACCACCCGGGAGGGTTCTAGTTCTGCTGCTTCAGGCTGAGGAATCCCCTGTGAAAAAGACTCCTGGCTTATTAGAGAAATGGCCCCGTAACAACCCTCCAGTGTGGCAGGCTGGTTTCTCTGCTCAGGATCGCTTTGAACATAGAAATATATTCCAGTATAATTCCCCTACCCCATTCCTAGGCTACGACAGCACGATCCCAGGAAATCTCAGCAGGCACATCGCAGCTCAAAGGCAGATCACTAAGAGAGATGCTGGACTGCTACCCACCTCAGGCTCAAATTGCTGACACTACAACTCCCATCATCTGCCCCCAGCATGGACAAGGGCAGATCCTCCCAAGGAAGAAGGGAGCTGCTACTGCAACAGTTCTGTGCTGTTCCCCCATGTCTAAGTACTCATTGCATATCCTTTGGGGTAGGAGTTTGTCCTTTGCAAAGAGCCATGGGCATAGACAGTGTCATTTAAATAAATGAATAAAGCACACACACCACATCCGTCCTGCTACCAGTAATTGCACGGCAGTCCAATCTCTTTGCGATCTGAAATAACAAAGAGACCGCCATGGTTTCCCCCTGCTCCAATCTCTACCAAAATGCCAAAAGCATATGCGGTGGTACTGGGTCACCTATACTAGCGCTACATCAATTAGCAGTCTTAGGTAAGTGCAGTCTTAGCCCTGGAAACTGCCTATTATTTGGAGAAGAAATCTCCTGTTTTTTGGCTTTCCTTCCCAGGGAAAAGAATGCAGGCATGCAGGATCTGACTGCAACTGGGGCTGGCCAGAAGAAACCCAAAGCCAAAATGGCAGAAGCAAAGATTATTCAGATGTTTAATTTCATGCAAAATAATACTTTCTCCTGAATTTGAAAATATTGAAATAATCAAAATGAAGGTCAACATTGGTATAAAGTCAACATATAAGACTTTGTACAACATAGCAACTTACTCTGGCTTATAAGCTCTGGTGGGTTGTCATGCCATGTAAACCTGGCCTATTTTTGGCTTATATGCCACCCTGATAACCCATGACTTGCAGCTGTGGTTATTCTACTCACAATGGGTAGTCATGTCATCTGAACCTGGACAATACAACCCACCATGGGTCAAACCTGGCTACAAGTGAGCCATTTGACAAGAGTGGGAAAATCTCCTCATTGCTCCTCTCTGCAGCATTGCCCAGCTGGTTTCTCCACGGTCACCTGAGCATGGTCTCCTCTGGAGCAGGAAGTGTAATTGCTGGACCAGCTCCTCCTCCTCCTCTGCTGAGCTTCAGGGCATGAGCCCTGTTTATGCAACACAGACAGCTTGACAGCTGCGGGGAGCTGAACTTGCTCCATGAGCGCGGCTGTCAAAGTAAGGAGCTTCCCTCCTCCCCAAGGTGCCCCCCTGAGGAACCTATTGGAGGACTGAGAGGGACGAAAATGGCAGACGAGAGTTACCTGATTGTCTTTCAGGCACATCCATGCAAAGAACCACGCACTATCAGCTGCCATGAGGTGTGGATCCTGCCACTGGGAAGTGTTATGTCTGCGAGGGTCATACCAGCCCTGCAAAGTAGCTCCGTGTAGCTCCCACAGTGTGGATGGTGCAAAGGGAGGGGATGGACAGGAGAATGAATCTCTTTCCCAACCATGGGAGGAAATGAGTGGGCGCTGGGGGCAGGTTCTTGCTGCCAGTCGCAGTGTAACTGGTATTTGCGAGTCAAAGCACTTTTGCTCAGAAAAAGAGAAAAGACTAGGGTGACTGATCTGTGCCCATAAAAACATGACCAAAGTTATTATGAGGCAGGAATAAATGAACACAAAAGCTCTTAACACACAGTCTGCTTTTTCACATTTGAATCTCAGCTGCTGTAAATCTCTCCTCATCGCCCCTGGCCTTGCACTGAATGCAGCTCTGCCTTGTCCTA